TAGTTTTAGAGTGTAAAATTTTACTTTCATACAGAGTAAAATTTTACTTTTAGCTTCAAAGTCTCACAGTTTACTCGTTTTTTAGAGTAAAATTTTACTTTTATACAGAGTAAAATTTTACTCTTAGTTTTAGAGTGTAAAATTTTACTTTCATACAGAGTAAAATTTTACTTTTAGCTTCAAAGTCTCACAGTTTACTCGTTTTTTAGAGTAAAATTTTACTTTTATACAGAGTAAAATTTTACTCTTAGTTTTAGAGTGTAAAATTTTACTTTCATACAGAGTAAAATTTTACTTTTAGCTTCAAAGTCTCACAGTTTACTCGTTTTTTAGAGTAAAATTTTACTTTTATACAGAGTAAAATTTTACTCTTAGTTTTAGAGTGTAAAATTTTACTTTCATACAGAGTAAAATTTTACTTTTAGCTTCAAAGTCTCACAGTTTACTCGTTTTTTAGAGTAAAATTTTACTTTTATACAGAGTAAAATTTTATTTTTAGTTTCAGAGTGTAAAAAATTTATACCTCTGGTAAATCCGCAACTAATGACAATCAAGAAGGATTTTACTCCTGATCTAGATACTTTACTTATTGATTTTAGATCCAGAGAAAATAGATCTAAAAGACATGCTTATCGTGCTAAATATGATTCTGCTCAGCAATCCAGAATAACTAGAAAATGGTATGATTTTATGGTTCAATATGGTTTTAAATATGGTTTTACTTTCATACAGAGTAAAATTTTACTTTTAGCTTCAAAGTCTCACAGTTTACTCGTTTTTTAGAGTAAAATTTTACTTTTATACAGAGTAAAATTTTACTCTTAGTTTTAGAGTGTAAAATTTTACTTTCATACAGAGTAAAATTTTACTTTTAGCTTCAAAGTCTCACAGTTTACTCGTTTTTTAGAGTAAAATTTTACTTTTATACAGAGTAAAATTTTACTCTTAGTTTTAGAGTGTAAAATTTTACTTTCATACAGAGTAAAATTTTACTTTTAGCTTCAAAGTCTCACAGTTTACTCGTTTTTTAGAGTAAAATTTTACTTTTATACAGAGTAAAATTTTATTTTTAGTTTCAGAGTGTAAAAAATTTATACCTCTGGTAAATCCGCAACTAATGACAATCAAGAAGGATTTTACTCCTGATCTAGATACTTTACTTATTGATTTTAGATCCAGAGAAAATAGATCTAAAAGACATGCTTATCGTGCTAAATATGATTCTGCTCAGCAATCCAGAATAACTAGAAAATGGTATGATTTTATGGTTCAATATGGTTTTAAATATGGTTTTACTTTCATACAGAGTAAAATTTTACTTTCATACAAAGTAAAATTTTATGAGGGTAATATGGTAAAAGAAACAAGTTTTAAAATATTAGGAGGTTTTGAAAGTACTTATATAATTCTTGTCCTTTTGAAAGACAAATTAGATAGTGAGGGGGCTATCACCAAATCCCCCTTAAAATATTTGTCCATGTGTTTTGATGATTTACTATTTACATTGTTGAGTGATCATACAACCTTGTAACTATCTAAGGTGATTTCTAAAATTAGGCTTTTTTAATATTAAAGTGAAAAGTATATTGAAAATAAATAAAAATTTAAAAGGTGTTTTGACTTTAGCAAAAAAATATATTAAATTCAATGAGAAATATTTCGAATTTAACAAAATACATCTTGTGTTCTTCATTTTGTTTTGTTATTTGGTATCCTAAACATTTATGAATAAGACACATTTCTATAAGATAGTATGTATTATTAACATTCATTAATGTTTTAATGTGTGAACAAATTCATTTTCAATTGAAAAGTATTTGCAAATTAAGATTTATTGTCAGCCCTAATTGAGGCCATTTATTTAATTAATTAGTTAGTTATTGGTTTAGCAATTAATTTTGTTTTCAAAATATCTACTTAGGATACCTCCAACCAAGAGAATCTTCAATAGTATAGTATAGTATAGTAGTATACCTGCACACGTGCGACTCACTGAAATCACTGAAATTCTTTTTCCTGTTTTTTTTGTTAGATACCATAAACCTTGTTTTGTGTGCTCCAAATCCAATGGATAAACTTTCAGGTTTTTTTTTTTTTGAAAATTTACCCATAAGTCCTAGTTTCTGAAAAGTTGAACCATTTAGTCCTAAAAGTTTTCTTATGCTCCATTTAGTCCCATTTGCACATCAATCTAATGTTTGAAACATTAATTTGATGTTCGAAATCTAATGTTCGAAACATTAATCTGATGTTCGAAATCTAATGTTCGAAACATTAATCTGATGTTCGAAATCTAATGTTCGAAACATTAATCTGATGTTCGAAATCTAATGTTCGAAACATTAATCTGATGTTCGAAATCTAATGTTCGAAACATTAATCTGATGTTCGAAATCTAATGTTCGAAACATTAATCTGATGTTCGAAATCTAATGTTCCGAAACATTAATCTGATGTTTGAAACATTGTAATGGGACCTTTCAGTCTATAAGAAAACTTTTAGGACTAAACAGTGTATAAGCTATTAATTTGAGATTTATTGGTGCATCCCCCAAAATTTAATTAATTTTCAAAAAATTTAATTTAAAAAATTCAAACCAAACACACGTTAGAACCCTAAAAACAGAGCTCTCTCTGCGCGTTTCTCACTCCTAAACCACTCTTCCAAAATGCTGATCGATCGTCACTGAATGAAAAATCTCTTGGAAACCCATCACATCTAAGAACCAATTTGATCTCCTAAAATGGCCTCCATATCTTCAAAATTCCCATCCAACTCCCTCCGGAGGGTCGCCTTCCTCCGCCGCCCACCCCCCTCGCACCACCTCTGCACCTCCGCCGAGCCCCGAATCCAGAAGCTGGAGCGAATAGCCGACGACCTTCTCAGCCTCAACAAGCTCGAGCGGTTCGACTACTCGGTCCTCTTCCGCCTCAAGATGGGCCTCGACCAGTACGGCCCCGCCGTCTCTGGCCTCGGCGGCTCTCCCTCCTCCGATTCAGCCGCCGGCTCTGGCTCCGGCCTGGCGGAAGCGAAAGTCGAGAAAACGGCGTTCGATGTCAAGCTTGAGAAGTTCGATGCCGCGGCTAAGATCAAGGTCATTAAGGAAGTTCGGGCTTTTACTGATTTGGGATTGAAAGAGGCCAAAGATTTGGTTGAGAAAGCTCCTGTGGTGGTGAAGAAAGGGGTTGCCAAGGAAGAGGCTGATTCGATCATTGAGAAGCTTAAGGCTTTGGGTGCTACTGTGATGTTGGAATGATTGCTTTTTTGGTAACCAAAAAAAAAAAAAAAATTGAATTTTGCTTCTTTATGTTGTCAGTGTAGAATAATTTTCATCTTTACATGAGAATGAGAATGAGAATGAGAATGATAATGATAATGATAGTGTTCTTTTGCCCAATTTTGATGTGTTCAAATTTAAATTTTTTCAAAGTTATCAATTTCTTTTGCTTGGCTTTGCTGCTATATATTTGTGTGCATTTTATATATATTCGAATTGGAGATTTAATCATGAACTTCTCCAATTAAGTGCTTAATGGTCAGAAAACATCAGACTAGCAATCTACCTTTATTGTACGTGATCTGTTGTTTTTTGGTGATGCAAACATTGAGTTCTTTGTTTATAGGTGCATACCACAAAATGGGAAAATTGTAAGAAGTTTTGTAAGCACCTGTCATAGTTGAAAGCTGCAATTTTTTTTTGAGTCCCATTATAATAGCAACTAGTAAGATGAACATCGAGCACTTCTGGAAATCTTATTATGCCTACCATCCTTGAAATTGTTCTCCTCCAACCTACAACAAATGTCTCTCCTGCGTTTCTTAGCTATATAATTATTCGTTTCGAACAAGTTGCCTTTTTCTTTATTGCGAAAGGGTAGAGTCTACCAAAACCTAGACGACAAAGCGTATTAAAAAACCATTCTTTTGAATTGGTGCAAAGGCTATCAATTTCTTAGCTTGCTGAACATGGAAGCTAGAACAGATTGAATTGTAGTTCTAGTATTTTGAGCTTACTTACCTTGTAGATTTACATAGAGGATTCTTGTTTTTGTTAGGGATATAGTCAGCAACATGACTGTGCTCCTTGTTCACCTTATTAAGCAAGGTCAGAGAGGCCAATGAAGTGCCTAACATTGTATATGTTTTAAAGAGTGTTATTGAGCCAAATGTCTGTATTAGATCCTAACATTCAAAAAAAAGATATTTGTATTGGTTGGACACAAAAATTCTGAATGACTGTATAGTTTTCAGTACACTTTGTGCTTTATTGAATACAATATGTGTCATTGCTTTATGAAGAAACCATTTTGAGAAAATCCTTAATATCTAAAACAGTTTCAACATGAGTTTGCAATAGAACCTGTTGTGCTGGATGGAGTTTTTCAGTCCCTCTTCTGCTTGTATTACAGAGTGTTGGCAATTCAACTTTGAAACGCCATGTTTATGGTAACCCAAAATCTTAGGTCTTGTTGAAGCTGATAACTGGGGAGAATTGTTGCAATGTCTTTTACTTTGCTTATCACTCAGAAAATAAATGCTCTCCTTGTCTTGGAACAGTTTAAGTAAGAAAAGATGGTATGTGTAGTATTACTCTTTGCAGCTTAAATTGTTGTTGTATTAACTGTGAAACTTACTTTGTCTCCTATGACACTGCAAATGAGCTTTAAGCAAGATTCAACCAAAAACTTCAGAACTTGTTTTGCATCATTTACGTAACATGTAGCAATAGCATGGTTTGGGCTTGTTTTGAAATTTTGTACAAGACACTTAATTTTTGTCAATAAGCTAAAATAGTCCAAAAATCACTAAAAGTTGTCACGCTACTCTCTTTACTTTTTTGCATGTCTTTTCGTAAAAAGCCAATTAAAATAGCCAATTCCTAAACGAGCCCAGTTAGGACAAATTCCCCATAATTGGAAAGTAGGACTTGAACAGAGTCTTATTTATAGATGCATTACATTCATTGTGTTTGGTTTCAATTTCTAGATTCATTTTTCTAAAAATTGTTTTTTTTTTATTTTTTTGTTTTTAGTGAATATTTTTAAAATTTTAAGCAATTTTTTACTTTTTTAGATGCACTTTACTTAGATGTATCTAAAAGTAAAATATTTGTAAAAAAATATTTTTAAAAATCAGTAAATACACAAGAATATGAAAATATACTGAATTTTCTATTTTTTTATATATATTTTTGGTATTTAGTGAATTTTTTAAAGATTTTTTTTTCGCAAATATTATACTTTTTAATTGTATTTATGTTAGATGTATCTAAAAATAAAAAAAATTATTTAAAATATTAAAAAATATTTAGTGAAAACAAAAAAATACGGAAAATAAAAAAATTTAATTTTCTAAAAAGTGAATCCTGAGAAGTGAAACCAAACAAGCTGATTGTCTTATCAAAAAACAATATGCAGAGAAAAACATATGCAAACTATGACACATCAAAGTAAACAGAACTCGAAAAATATTAGAAAAAAAAAAAGCAATGTTAATCTCATACATGTTTTAAGCAAAGATGCAGTATGGAGTTGGCTCTTATAAGATAAATCATAGAGGATACTCCACTTAAAAGATTATCATGGACAGCAATTCTGCTGCCCAAAAACCATGCAATGATTTGGCTAAGCAACTCATTATGGCAAATACCTCTGTTATCAGAATCTTACGATTCGCGATTCGATTCACGATTCGATTCACAATTTTTGCAAAATCGATACGAATCTATAAGTGAATCGGTGATAAAGGACAGTGGAGACATGCATTGTCTGTTGTGGAGTGGGTGTATAGCTCCAAAGAACATAGACATTACAAGAGCAGGTAAATTTGTTTGTGTTTATTTAGTTTTATGCTTGATGATTTGCGCTTTAGTTGGAGGAAGGTCTGGTTGAACATGAAGCTGTATGCCTTCATTTGATAATGCAATCGAAAATCATCTTAAAATGCCATATAGTTGGATTTTTTTTTACAAGGAATCAGTTAGCTGAGTTTTAAGATCACCATTGTTAAGAATCTGCTAATTATTGATGGTGTGAAATGTAAAAAAGTATTGGAAACTGAAACAAATTTGAATTACAATGAGTATAAACATTAGTCATGAGCCTTGAATTGATGTTCACAGTGCAGTGTAATCTATGAACTTGTATGTGCTTGTCAAAAAAATGGTTATCTTCACAATTATGTGTTGTTTAGAGGAGCTGAACATCAGTGATTTGGTTTTGACAATGTTACTTCTCTGACAAACATTGTAATCTATTTTAATTGTGTAGTTCTAATGTTAGTCAGTTGTGTGAAATTTTACTATTTTCACCTGTGTTTCTATGAGCAAAACTATTGTCTATGTTTATTTATATATTTATTGTAGGTTTGTATACACAAAACTATTGGCAGTTCTTGGGAAAGCAAGGAGACCTCGTGAAGCTCTTCAAATCTTTGATTTGATGCGTGTAATGATCAAAAACTTTACCTACTTAATGCTTATAAAACAATTATGTAGTTCATATGTTATGGATTGTCTTTAAAATTTTACGTGATATTGTTGGATGGATTCTAACTGCAAGTTATTTAGGAAGATTGCCAAATATATCCTGATATGCCTTCATACCACAGTGCCGCTGTTACACTTGGTCATGCTGGTTTTCTGAAAGAACTACTGAAAATTATTGAGTGCATGGGGGAGAAACCTGCTAAAAGAATAAAAAATATGCGTCACAAGAACTGGGACCCTATTCTTCAATCTGATGTGGCTGTGTTTAATGCTGTAAGAGAACGTTACTTTGTTACAGCCAATTAAGTTTTCCTCACTTACATCCGTCTGCAAATTGGCTTAACTTCTTGATTATTTCCAATTGGTGGTTAGGTACTGAATGCTTGTGTTCCAACCCATCAGTGGAAAGGTGTATCTTGGGTGTTTGGGCAGTTGAGAAAGAATGGTCTAAAACCTAATGGAGCAACTTATGGACTTGCAATGGAGGTAGTTGTTGGATCTTGAAGTACCTAAAAATCATGGATTCAAACACAGGCATGGGATTGGACATGTTAATGGGTATGGACACAGGACACAACAATTTTCAAAAAAATTAAGAAAAAAAATCCACAAAAATGTCTTCAGCATAGGACGCACATGTCCGTGAAGTGTCCCCAACGTGCCCTGCAAAAAAAATTATTAAATAGTGATACACGTGGACATGCGTGTTCGCACCATGTCTGTGTCTGACATGTATTAGACATAGACACGGACACAACACTTATTTCGGTGAGTCTGTGCTTCCTATATTGGTACAATATGTTTTATGGGTGGTTATTTGTCTCAAATGATATCGTTAACTGGTGCAATTTAATTTCTTTGCAAATATGAAGAGTAAAAGACATATTATAGGTGTTATATGCCTGCAGATTTTGTTTTTGCTATCAATAAATAGATTTAGCAGAAACGGTAGAAATATTGAAAGCTGAGGACAATTAGAGTGGCTATGTTTTCAAATTCGAGGCTCATGCTATTTCTTTGGACGGAAGTATAGGTGTGTCACGCTGATCTGTTCTTTATCTTCATTTCTGCAACTCACTTTAGTTGTAAGAGAATAGTTAAAATACAAAGGGTGAGCATTGGATTTGTGTGTCAACTGCATTCCAACAATTCAATTCATCTTGGTTTTGAGACTGTTTTGACACCCAAGCTCTATTCCAAACTTGAGACCTGGAAAGCTCACAAAGGGTGCTGCTGATGTTTTTTCATGCCTGATCTGTCCCTTGACCCTTGTGTCACTTGCATCTCTTTGCAATCTGCTCAATCGCTGGAACATGAAATTTCTGCTTTGTTGAAAACTTGGCTACCTCTGTGACTATGGATGTCAAGGTCAAATATTAGGTCTGTCTTAAGGTCTGCTGATAGCAACAAAATTAGTGATTTTTATTAAGAGGCCTAATATGTCTTCTACTGCTTTGACCAATATATGAATATATGCCATATGCTTTAAAGAAAAGGAAACACAGGACTGCAGGTTAATTTGCACTAAATGTAAAATATAGGCTCTTAGGCACTTGTGGTAGCCTATTATGTACAGAATTTGTTGTGGATTCCTTGAATAAATCATGCAAGTTAAAGTGTAATAGAATGATTTCTAGTACCTTCAAAGTTGTTAACACAGAAAACTGGGTATATATATGATTTTGACATCTGGGTTAATTCATGGCACTAATTGAATCAGTCACATAATACTTTCAGATCTTTTCTAGACCATTTTATACTTCTGTGAATATGGGTTTCCATTTTAAGGGCAACAGAGTAATCTTCATTGAAATAAATTATTTAGCTTCAAATTATATTGGTAATCAAGACTTACAGGACATGCTTTTTGTAAGGTAATGCTACGATCTGGAAAGTATGATCGTGTACAT